CACGCCTGTTTTCTGTGTGGTCGTGGTATTGCACCGGGCGAGCCGGCCCATTCGTGCGAAGATGTTAAAGCGGGCTCTACCACTGTCAAAAATTTAAACAATTTAGCAGTTGCTATATTTGGGAATTAACTATGTCATATTTTATCCAATGAGGGTGCGGCGACTGCACAGGTTAATGTTATAATTTTGAAATTCCATAAAATGTGTAAATGTAAATGTTCTGATAAGATGTAGTTAATTTCGCTGATATTAGGATTATGATCAAGAAGATGTTAACTTACAATTACTCGGTATTGTCAATGTCAATGCCAAAAAGATGTCACAAGATCCATGTAGCCCTTTACCTAACATGTCTGACCCCAATGATATAGTGGAAATTTGCGTTTTTGTTGCCGCATAGTAATCGCTATTTGCAATTGTGGAACAAAATCCGTAAATCGCTCAAAGTATATTTTAAAAGAGTCATACGATCGGCGAGATAACCGATGCGATATTCGAAACTTTTGAACATTCGTAACATCAGAGAAAATACAGATGCATTTCTGGCCTTAGAGATTTTCTTGAATATGTTAAAAGCTAGTGTGGTAATTAGATTTGCGCCGCGGGCGGGTACCTGTACGCGCTGGGCGGGCACGAGGCGCCGGCCAACACGATGGGCGGGCGTCTGGCCTGCGTCGAGCGCTACGACCCCGTCACCGACACCTGGACACTACTGGCGCGACTCTCCTACGCGCGCGACGCCATCGGCTCCTGTCTGCTCGGCGACAGGATCGTCGCCGTCGGTCTGTACCCAACACCCGACTTACCTCTTCGGCACTCACCTCTCCGACACTTAACTCACCCGCACTTACCTCACTCGGACTCACGTCTCCAGCACTTATCTCTCCCGCACTTACCTCTCAGACACTTCCCTCACCCACATCTACCTCTCCGACACTTACCTCACGCGGGTTTAAGTCTACAGCACTAATTTCTCTGGCAGCTATCACCTGACGCCTACTTCTCAGACACTAACCAAAGCTAATACATTTTAATGTCAACACGTCCTTCGTATGTGTATAAATCTGTGAAAATATCATAAGATTCGACTATTTTTGTGTAGTGTTTTTAATAAAATAAGAAGAATATTCTCTGTTATCAGGTGGCTACGACGGCGTGCAGTATTTAAATTTGGTGGAGATTTACGACGCGGAGAGCAACACTTGGCGTAATCTCGCTCCGATATCGATAGGGCGCGCGGGCGCCGCCGTGGTCGCCGTGCCGCCGCCGCACAGGACTCTATGACGCAGCTGCTTCTTACAGGGCGCGGTAGTCCCGCCCAGGGCGCGGTAGTCCCGCCCAGGGCGAAGTAGTCCCGCCCTAGGCGGTGGACAGACAGGGAAACTAAGATCTGCGGACTACACAGGCTCACATAGGTAAGTATTGTAGGTAACCAAGAGGGCGCTGTAGAAATGTCGCCCAAGCAAGATGAGACCTGTTTCTCAATGGACTCGCCACAACTTAGCGCAACCAGTTCTACGTTATGTACTGATGTGAAATCATTGATAAGGAAATAAGGTATTTTCAAGTGTATTTAGAAAAAGTCATAATTAAATGTAATTCTTGAAAACACACGTAAGGTTTCAAACATCATAATCTGTTTAATTTTCGCTGACTATAATAGTCTAGTAGTATGTGAGTAACAAGCATTAACAAACATTACGAATAATGCATTTCATTATAGGAATGGAAATTTGAAAACTTAAAATCTCCCTCTTTAATTTTGTGTCATTCTTTATCAAAAAAAAGAAACACATTCCTGTCTTGCATGGCGGCAATTTTGTCTGTTTTTATTTTATATGAAATTGAAGTCAATATAAAGGACTAACTGCTCTATTATTTGTGATCGCTAGATGAAAAAACTAGCTTTATTGTCCAAAAAGTATAAAAGACGCGTGACTAATAGTATAAAACACATTTTTAAGTTCCTCATATAGTAAATTTGTGTAACCTAAATTTATGATTAAGCTTTGATTTAGTATTAATGATTCTCTATTTAGATCCACCTACATAAGTATGGTGCTTAATATCAATTGTTTACTGTGATCATATTAATCTTAAATCTAACATATTTTCATAAAAAAAAAATCCTTATAAACCAATGAAAAATAAAAAAAATGTAAAAGTGTATACTTGTATTCACGTGCATAACTGTGGGTTTAACCTGATCTCGCCAGAGAGGAAATTAATTAGGCATAAAATCTTGTAGCCCTTCCAGTGAAATGTAGAGGTCATTGGTTTCCAGTGCAGATGCTTGAAACTTTCTTTGTTAGTCAATTTTAAAAGAGAATCTGTGGGATGACAATATGTGTCAAAGCGTCATTACAGTATAAACTCACAGTTACTTTTAAAACTATATCTTGTAATGTATAATAACAGTGTATAGGTGCTTCTTTCCGTTTATATAACTTTATATCTTTTGAATTTGTCGTTTTAAAACTTAAAACTTGACTGGAAAATTCTAGACTTTTATCTTCTCATTTGTGATCTCATACAGTATATTTAACTGCGGATGTTTATGATCGAAATACTTTTGTAAAAACAAACTAACTCTATCGATATACTTATTTTAATATCATGTTATGCGCATTTATTTCATAATGCATTTATCCTTACCATTCATGTCAATTATAGTGATATTGTCTATTGACAAAATATAAAAAAAAATGATCTCAAATTTTGGTATCTACTTATATCGAAATTACTTTTACTTATTGTCAATCTTTTTGAATCTTCAATTCCAATAGCAAGTATTATAGTCTGTAGTTATTCATATGTAATCTCTCTACCTACGTATATGTTTTTTTTTTTTTAATTTACATTGTATTCGCAGCAGTTTACTTATTTTCAGCTATAGTGTAATTTAATATGAACATACACTTATATGTAGTTAAGTATCACAAAGATTCAGTGAATTTATAAATTATAATATCAACTTTTGAAATAACTGTTCCAGGCTG